TGGACTTTGGGTGATAATGATGTGTCTGTGTAGGTTCATCAACTGTACTAAATGTACCACTCTGATGCTGGAGGTTACAGTAGGAGAGGCCGTGCATGTTGGGGACAGGGGGTGTGTGGAAACTCTCTGTACTTTCTGCTCAATCTTGCTGTGAACCTAAAACTATTCTAAAAAATAAAGTCTATTTAAAAGGGGAAGAAATAGGTAAATTTTGAAAATATCACTCCACTGAAGACTTCCTGCTTCTGCTATTGCTGTCGAAAAGTCAGCTGTCAGTTAACTGGGTTTCTTTGATAGGTAATTAGTATTTTCTTTCTACATCCTTTTAAGATCTCTTTATCTTTGATGTTCTGCACTTTGACTACAAGATATCTAGTTGTGAATTTTTGTTTGTTTAGCCTTCTTGGAATTTGTTTTCCAAGTCTGTAGATTTGTGTTTTGCACCAATTTGGGAAAATTCTCATCAGCATCTTTAAATATTGTTTCTCTCTCATTCTCACTAATCTTTCTATCTGGAATCCCAATTAGATTACATGACAAATCATTCTTATTCTGTTCTCTGTGTCCCTTGACCTCTCTTCCATACTTTCTATCTCCTTTTTTCAGACTAGCTTTATGGGCAATATTTTTAGATGTACCTTTTAGGTAGATCAACTTTAACTATTTAATCTGTCCATGGAGTTTTGTGTGTGGTTATGTATAAGCGTTATTGAACTATTATCCATTGATTTTTAAATTTCATTGATTACATTTTAACTTCTGGAAGGACTTTCCTAGTAGTGGTTCTTTTTAAAATTATGAATCGTTACAAATTTTTGGAGTTGACTTTTCCTCCTCACCTGAAGCCAAGGCCAAGAGAGAGATGTTATCTTGCTCTCTCCCTTTGCCAGGAGGCAGATTTTTTTTTTTTTCCTAGCCCACCCTTTCATGGAGATTGTAGCCCTTTTGAGGGGCCTGGTTTCTGCAGCAGGGCTTCTGTTCCTACTCCCTACCTCATACACATCAAAGGTGTTGTCTTCTGGTCCCAGTTTACCCATTAAAACCTAAGCCTCTAGCTTCTGGTTTCACTAAACACCATGGCTTAGGATTTCCACGGCTCCAAGCCTAGTTTACTACTCTGATTTCAATTCCCTCTATTTTTTGGCCCCTTGCTTTCCTTTAAGTTCTGTTACGCACTTTGTGCTGTCATTTCTAGCTATCCTCTAGCGGAAATGTTTTTCATAATTTTCATAAAAGACTTTCATAATTTAACTTCCTATATTGTCAGAATTAGACATCCTTCCAATGAAGATTGTCAGATAAAACACAGGATGCTCAATTAAATCTGAATTTCAGATGATCACATACGTTTTTTTAGTACAAGAATGCTCTATGCTATATTATTCATCGTTTATCTGAAATTCAAGTTTTGCTGGATGTCCTATGTTTTTATTTGCAAAATCTGGCAAACTTACTTCCAATCTCCTCCCCCCTCATTGACTGTGCTCCCAGCCACAGGCCTTTCTGTCCCTCAAAAGTAGCAAACTCACTTCCAGTCTCAGAGCCTTTATGCTTGCTTTTCCCTTACCTGGAACATTCTTATTCCAAATCTTCACAAAGCTGGCTCCACATCATTTAGATGTCAGCTCAATGTCACCCTACTCACTTCACTTTCCCGGCCAATCTTCATCATCATTATAAAGCTTAACACTTTCTGAAATTACATGATCTGTTTACTTGTGTTTTTGTCCTTTCTCCTCTTAGTAGAGTGTAAGGCTCACGGGGGCGAGGGCCTTGTTAGCTGCTGTATCCCCAGCACCTGACACAGAGCCTGGCACTTAGTAGGCTCTGAATAAATCTTTGTTGGATGAATAATTGGCACCCCAAAACCTGTTCTGCAAGATTCAAAGTTATGAAGATCAGCTGAAGGTAAAACAGCTGGCCATAACCAAAGAGAACAACAACAACAATAAATATTTCGAGAAAAGCCAACACGGATCCTAAACAAAATTGCCTTGAAGAAAGGACTGTCTCTGCGGTGAGCGGCAGATGCAGAAAGATCCCCCAGACCCACCTCTGGTCACACAGCTTGGGCTGTAGTGAGTAGTGACTGAAACAGGGTGTGGGAGTGCCTGGCTTAACTGGGCCCTGAGTTATTTTCTGCTGTTGGATTGAGGACCTGTGTAGGAGCAATGTTTTTCCTGCAGTTCTGTGGCAGTGAGAAATAATGGGGTAGCTGACCCCTCAGACTGACTTCTCTTCCTGCTGATGTAGAAGTCAGGCAGGGCACCCCATCTCACTTGGACCCCCACAATTCCTAGGGTTTAGAGGCAATTCAAGACAAAGGGAAGACCTCAGAGAAGGGGCTAATTTAATACAAACTAGTAAAATTTTAAAAGAGCCAGGCTGATAATTACATCTTCAATTTCAAAATCTTGGAGGCTGGGGCGCCTGGGTGGCTCAGCCGGTTAGGCTTCTGCCTTCGGCTCAGGTCATGATCTCAGGGTCCTGGGATCGAGCCCCACATTGGGCTCCCTGCTTAGTGGGGAGTCTGCTTCTGCCTCTGCCCCTCCCCTCTG